TAGTATTATTTGCTGATGATACTTCCTTGATTTTTAAACTTAAACGTCAATCATTTAAATGTGACGAAGTGAATAATGCTATATCAAAATTAGTGCATTGGTTTAACGTTAATAATCTGCATTTGAACGGAAATAAAACTAATTGTGTTAAATTTACAACAACGAATGTTCAAAATCTGAATACCAATGTGTTTTTAAATGGGGAGGAATTGAGCCCTGTTGTATCCACTGTTTTTCTTGGCATCACTCTTGACGCAAAGCTCCAGTGGGGCCCCCATATATCCAAATTAGCAAGCAGACTAAGTTCTGCAGCCTATGCTGTAAAAAAGATTAGAGTTCTCACTAGTGTCGAGACAGCTAGATTAGTTTATTTTAGTTATTTTCATAGCATAATGTCTTATGGGATTTTGCTATGGGGAAATGCGGCTGATTCAGAAACTATTTTTGTTTTACAGAAGAGGGCCATTAGAGCTATTTACAATCTAAAACCGAGAGAGTCTCTTAGAGATAAATTTAAAGAAATTAATATATTAACTTTGGCCTCTCAGTATATTTACGAAAATTTAATGTATGTTCACAAAAACAAAGATAGTTTTAGTAAAAGAAGTGATATACATTCTGTAAACACTAGGAACAAACACAAGCTAGTGATACCAGTTTCTCGACTCCACAGAGTCAGTAATTCATTCTTGGGGCAATGTATACGCTATTACAACAAGGTCCCGGAAAGTGTACAGGTTCTCTCTATTACCAAGTTTAAATGTTTTATTAAGCTGAAACTGTATAAAAAGGCTTATTATAGTATAAATGAATACATGGTTGATAATAACCCTTGGGAATGAGGTGATCGCTTCCAAGCAGTTTCTAAAATAAATTTTGTAAATAGTTCGTAATAATTTATATTGTAAAATTTATTTAAAAAAAAAAGTCCCGCTGGGTTTCTTGCTGGTTCTTCCCAGGACAGAGGGTTTTTTCGAACCAGTGGTAAAGTAAAAAATGACTTTCAATAAGAATTACACATGTAATGTATATTGAATAAAAAATATTCTATTCTATTCTATTCTATTCTCCCAATCCATGGTTAGAATCTTCTAACTCTTTGTAAGTGGTTGACCTTTGATAGATATGAAAATCTGTCACTATTCCACTGGGATTTTGCTTTCATACCAACTGGGTTTGGTTTGCCGGGGCAATATTGTTTAATTCCACATGCCCCTCTAAGAGGCACTATCATTTCGTCAAGAGACATGTCTTTTTCATTTTTTTATACCCTCTTGAATTCGCTGTATCAATGGTCTGTTTTTCCGTAACTTATCTTCCACACGTTCAGCTTGACTAACATTGCCATCAAATACAAATTTGATAGAGTTTCTGATTTGTATAAATCTGTGTAATGTTAATCGCAATCACCGCCATTCTCCACTTACTTTCCCAGCACATTCTTATTACTAGATAGTTTACAGAAGCCATAACGAACGTAATCCCGATGCACACGTAAAATTCATTGATATCTAAATTCGTGCTTCTTCCATGCAATTTTACTGAAGTTTGGTTTGTTCTTTCAACCAGTAACTGTATAAACTTTTCATCTATATATTGTTCAGAATATGTAACTTTTTCAAAAAACCTGATTTAAATGGTAAATAAGTCTGCTGCGATAATTTCATTTCTTTCGGTGGGAATAGTTTTTCAGACTAACCAGGTAGTGAAATTTTAATCACTGGCAGAGGAAGTTATATTGCTGCCACAACCACGATTACTTTCACGAGTAAAGCCACGACGAGCACGTGATGGAGTTAGCTGTACTATTCTTTCTTCGTGCATTGTTTCTGGCTCTGATCTTTCAAAATCACTCTAACTAGAGAAATGATCTAACTCAAGTCTAAAAGGTGGGCCATGGTCATCCAAATCTTCATCACTAGGTGCGAAGTCTTCAATCTCCGATTCGTTTAATAATTTAGAAACATCTTCATCGCGCAAAACTATAATACCTACTATATAGAAATAAGTACTTTAAAACAAAATACTTAAACTTTCTGAAAAACGATTACTTAACTGATTAACGCCCAATGACCTCACATAATACCAATTAAAAAATGACTGTAATTGTAACTACCGCCCCGTGTGATTGTTCAATCACATATTTTTTTAAATCAAAATGATTTTTTATGCACAGCAGTATATGGTAAAATAATACGATATTTATGTAAAACAAAATCTAAATTTCATGTTTATAAATGATTTGTTGGAAAAATAAACGGATTTATTAAATAAATCAAGATCAAAACTCAGCATGACGATGCGTGGACTCCATGTTGGCTCAATTCAGTTTAAAATTAATAGCTATCTGTGGTTGGTTGCCTACTTGCTCTTGATCTAAATGTTGCTAGCAAGAGGGCCGATCAATGACCTCTAATAAGAAATACAAAAACCCGCGAATTTTTTAATCTAGGAACAAAAATATAATTTGTCCTCAGTGGATGACAGTGGGCGGCAATTTTGATGACAATATTTTTCGTATAATATTAGGCCTTACGAGGTTAATCAAACATTTACTGCGCATGTTACTGTATATTATTAAATTATTCTATCTAATAAAACAAATCAATTCGTAACGTCGTTAAACTCGTGCGAGATTACCATATTCATATAATTTTATTGTCACAATATTATTATTTGTGTAATTAATCTTATAGATTAATATCGTAATAACATTATTATTATCTAAGCAATATAAGAGTGATTAGGTCATATGTTTTCACCTTTAGGTGTACACAATGGTATATTATGTATCACTGGTGTGGTAACCATACGATAAGTATACAAATATGTATTGTCATACCGTTATTTAAAGGTGCCCGTGAATCTGGCAAAAGTTATTGTGATTATAATTTGATTTTATTTAACTTACTTCGAGGTAATTTTTTTTATTGATCAATGTACGTGCCTCGCTCGATTCAGTTGTAGAAGTCTAGAAGTTATTCAGAATATTTAAGTGCTATGACTTTTAATATAAAGAACTTACGGAAAAAGGGCGTCCTATAATATAATGTAAATATATTTTGCAAAACACAATTTGCTTAGATTTTTAGATAAGTAAAATGAGAAAAAAAAGAAAATCGCAGGAACCTTGATAATCATTATCCCATATCTAAAAATAGTTTTAGTATTATGTTTGTATGAGAAATTCAACCACAGCCGCTTTCTTAACAAAAAAAAACTAAACTACAAGTTATTCAATAATGTAGGAAAATAAATCAAACTGCATGCATTAAGTATACTATTTTATATTGTATATTAAAAACCATATTTATTACATAAAATATAATCATTGATACATACTCGCTTAGCAATATAATATATATGTATCATAAAACCATATGGGAAAATCAAACTTACAATTAAATAATGAAATAAATAAAATTGAATCCGGGTAGACTTTGTTGCCATAACCTATATTAATTTTTCTTATTTAAGCTATTTTATACAAACATTGGCAACACATTATTTACGTTTATTATGTAAGTAAAATTCATTGCCTCATTACATTTAGTCAAGTATGTATAGCTATAACAATATTTAGGTAAACTCCATAATATATGTCAGTCTGTCATTTCATACAACTAAAGACTACCCTCAAGTTTGATGGTGCTAAGCACCAAAAACTATGGAACTTTTTCTCGGCGGTACAGTCGTATAGAATTGCACAGGTAAAACAGCATAGAGGAACTAGTCTACCTTCTGTAAAAACTATAATATTTTTGACAAAACAAATTGGGTCTTAGCTGCTCTTTTCATATGAAAGTTGGAGCAAGACCTCCATTTTTGTCCACCAAGTATTATACCGCAATGAACTTATAATTTCATTGGGATAAAAACATTTTAACCAAAGGTATTACAAAAAATTTCAACTCCTCGCGCCGTATGACATACTCTGTACAATTCATGTATCATATTTCCAAGAAGTAAATAAAAAAACATACATTGATTACGACTAAGATAATAATATATAAACATCGCCAGTTACATATATATATTTGTTTTAACAACTCAGCAACGTTTGCAGGAAGACTTGACCCCCATTCTCTTTAGATGGCAAACATGCCATCCTCTTATTGCTTTTGTCCTTACTTACTCTTAGCTCTTCATACACTTTCTGTAATAGTTTAAACTGACAAGTGACAGGAGCTGTCATTACGTTTTGAATTGCACGCGTTTACAAACTGACATCAGATTGATATCTGTCAAAATATTATGCTATTTTTTTTATTTTTTGGCAAATTTTTTCATTATAATTATCACACAAATTACATCTAATGACAGGTAAAAAGTATTTGCTACAGGTTTGTATAGGTTATGTGAAAGTGTCAAAGTCCTAAAATAAAGCAATGCATTATCTAATGTTTCATTCCTATATATTTATTTCATCAAATGGTGATATAATTATACTTGTCTATTCACATATCCTATACAAAACTTATTTGTGATGTATTTTGTATGAGTAATCTCATACAAAATTTTCAATATTATTAATATAATATTATGCAGGATGTCTAAACAAAAAATGTCTCTCTGCAATAATTACAAATCATGACCTGTCACTTGGCATTTTAATTATATTTATTCTACCAGGGTCCAAACCGTAACTTGCAAAGAGCTCTATATCAAATAATTAACCAACTAGACCCAGTAGTTTAAAATTTTTTACTACAATTATACAACATCAACGTTTTAACAGTGAAAATCAAATATACAATGGTTGATGGGCCAATGACAATATACATAAGGTTCGTAAATATGATATATTAATTTTTATGTATTGTTTTAGGCAGTGCTCGTGCATACTACCCAATGGCTTGGCCAATTTAGGTAGTTGATTTTGTAACTATGAATATAAAATCATAAGTATTTCAATATTGTTACACATTCATCCTCATTTACACTGTTCTCTCTGGCTCGGGGGGTGGAGGGCCACGTCGTGAGGGGAAACTAACTCCTGTTCAGGCAACATCTATAGGGTTGATGCTTTCCTTCAACTTCTCAAACAAGCTGTCGCTGTCACTGTCGAACATCTGGAACAGAAATAATTTTCATTAGTAATGGTTTTAAGATTTCTTGCAAAATAATGGTATTGTAACCATAGTCGTACTACAATGTCCCCACTACTGGGCACTGGCATTTTCCCTCGCTGGCCCAACTCGTGTTGGTGGGCTTATATTTGAATTTTTTTTTAAACGACTGTGGCGCAGTGGCTTAGCTTATGAACTACCTACGATATGGGGAAAATCCTAGTGTGGGGTAACAATTTAAATTAAAAAAGAAAATAAAAGAAATATGGTTTCCTTACGAACACGATGTTTTCTTTCAAAGGCAAAAGTTAGAGAACGCATGCCTGTTAAAAATTTGACCGTTTAGTTTTGTACCATATGCAATAGTAGTTCTCTTAAATATATATTTTATTAAAAAACTATTTTATTATATTGTTATTAATTTACCTATCCACAATATTGCATCATTTTAAGGCGCAGGTTGAGCGAAATGTCGCGCTAGTCGTTATTTGTGCGGTTTTTAGGAGCTATCTACTTTTTATTTAAAAGATATCAACAAATAAATTAATCATTGCCTTTGCAATAATCAAATATATGGCGTAATAATATGCAACATTTTGCAAAAACAATTTAATATAAATACCAAATTCAACTATAGACGACTAAAAGACCATAAATTAATTGGTATTTTTTTCGTAAATACTGTTTGTTTGTCTTTCATCACTGAAAAAAGATGACAGTCCTAGGCAGTTAGTTACTTTTAGTTTGTTTGTATATAGCGAGCTAATAGTTCTAATAGATTGGTCATGTGTACCGGACGTCGGGATTATTCTCGATGACACACTAGTCTAGTCTAGTCTATAAATTAAAACCTACGGAAGCTATAGTAGCTATAGCAATATATTTATATTAGGAATTTTCTAGGAATTACTTTGTATAAATTTGATGATTAATATAATTATCAATTATTAATCTGCGAAGAAAATAATTTTAGTATCTTTGTCTTATTTGCCGTTATAGGTGTGCCAATGCGCCGATGGCTAATCTCCATTGAGGCTGTTCGCCGGCACCGAAATTCGATCTGGAGGATATTATATGTAACTCTTATGTGAACTTACTACACAACTCTGTCCGGAGGGCAATATATTGCTGTATGATATTTTCAATATTTAATTATTATTTTTTAATTTCAGATGAGTGAACTACATCAACTTTACCCAGTTATAGATTTTTTAAACTATAAACTCGGGCACTATAATCCTGTCCTGCGACGGTTACTCTCCGTTGAGAATGGCTTTGTGATTGACCGCCGTGACCGAAACACGGTCTGGAGGATAGGTCATAGGTGTACTTACGTCATCGTCGTCGTCGTCGTCCGTGTCGCTGTCTTCCACAGCGGAGAAGACGTGTGCTGCGGAGTTCCGTGCTGCGAGACGGCGCGGCGTGCGATTGGCAAAGTCCAGGGGTGAGGGCGCAGCACCGCAGCGCAGCAGCGCAGCACACAACCGTGCGTCACCACGCCGTGCTGCGATATGTAGTGCCGTCCAGCCCGCAAGACCCTCCTGCAACAAGCGCACGGAGATAAGCATACAGTTGTTTATACCCTTACAGGCGATAAGTCCACTGCTGAACATAGGTCTCATAGGCCACCCCATAGATTGCCTCATAGGGGAAATATCTGCAGCACCGCAGTTTTTTTGCTTGTTAATAGAAAGACGCTGCTGTCCATCTCCTGGCATACAATTATTTATTGATCTTTTTAATAAAATATAAGTTAGTTGACTAACTGCAGCTCATAGATTAGGGCTGGGCAAGGGAAAAAATATCGATATATATCGAATCAGTATTTTTATACATTATCGATATATATCGCGTGTTAAATATCGATATATCAGCATCAAATACGACAAGCACACATCAATGCTTTTGTAACTCCTTTTGTTGTTTCATGTTTTATCCATTAATACCATATTTTAAAAATATCGAAATTGATACGAATTCGATACTCTCAAATAAATATCGATATATCGCGATTAAAATATCGATATTTAGATATATCGATATTTTTTGCAAACTCCATATAAATCAGGCTACAGGTGCATTGTCACTTTTGAGGATCAAGAATCACGATGTAATGCCTTAAAGGCAGTGGTTACTGTTTCTCTATATTCTTGATGCCGACAGGAACTGCACTTGGCAGCAGCAACAGGTAAAAAGAGAAGCTGCTTGACAGTAGAAAAGGAGCCCTACCTAGTATCTCTTTCCGATTTCAAGAGATAAACATCATCCTAAAGTTCTCTAGTGCATTGATTACAGGCATTAGATCCTAATGGTTCCTCTTGTTTTTGAACTATGGAGCAGTAAAGCCACCTATCCTATCGGGACTGTTCCCCTTGGGGTTATTATTTTTGTGTACCAAACTCGAAAACGCTATGGTCTGAATAGTTGGTAACCATAGAAGATTTCGTCGTAAGTAGAAACTTTGTAAACTTGCAGGAAGTCGTTGGATACACAGGTGGCTGAGTGCCGTGTTTTGTGACATTCCTTGGGGGAAGCTTTTATAAGTAGATGTCAGAAAGATACTGCTTGGCTTCTCATCTCACTAAACGATTTTTCATACCTCAGAAGGTATGCATGTTATAATGAAATAATTACGACGTCATGCTAAATAGTTTTCAGTATAACAACCCGATCTCGTAGAAGGAAAATGAAAACAAGTGTTTTTTTTTTTAATTATATAAGTACTAAAATTTTTAATATACCACGTTCTTTTTTTATATTCCTACATTTGTCATATCTGACTCTAAATTTGAAGTCTCTGGCGCATCGGGAATAGTTTATAATCAATTACTAAATTCTAACCGAACTGACATACATGAAAGCGAGTTTAATAAATAAAAACGTGATAAAAATGGCGGCTCGGACTCCCACAGACGAAAGTTTACACCTCAAGGTAAACCGCCAACGTTTAAATAAAAATCCGATCGGCGCATCTCGATTAAAATTGTTGAAGATAAAATTTATGATAATTGAAAAAATCCGGAAGACTTGTCAAAACCTGTCTTGTTAATAAGTGACGTAGTTGACATTGTAGCGACATAAAAAAAATAAGAGTGCACACAGCCCACCCGATGGTAAGTGAAGTGCTGTGTCTAGCGTTGCCACCGTTTTTTGAACAAATATAGCATTTTTCCCAAAAAAAGATAAAAAATATAGTACTTTTGGAAAATTAAGGAAAAAGTACACATTTATTTTTAATTTTTATGCATTTTTCCATATATTGTTATTGCTCTTCGCTTTGGCCGTCAACCTTTAAAATAATTATAGGAATCCGAGCAATATAGATTCATATTAAAATAAATTAACAATTCATTTTAAATTAAATTTATTATCTATTTCTTTCTGCTTTCCATTTAACATTCATGACGGAAAAATTCTTTCCGTAAACTTGTTCCAGATTTCCAGCCACAATTAATATAAAAAATCGAGACATTTGATTTTTTTTTAAATTAGGGGAAAATATAGTATTTTCCGTACTATATTATTTTTCTATAATAATATAGTACAATCGACTGAAATATAGTACGATACTATATATTCTAGTACGGGTGGCAACCCTAGCTGCGTCCCATTGACCGTCACCCCTGAGGGCTAAGATGGAATGCGCGTCTGAATTTTTATTCTTAGTCGTGGTTCGATGTAGATGTAGATGTTTCTTAGTAGGTGTTCATGGGCCACAGCATCCTCTTACCAAGGGAAGAACGTGTGCTCGTTTGTCACTCTTATTCTAAAAAGAATTTTGTATGGTGACGGATAAGCCGGAAAACTTTTTAATGGTTAACACGGCATTCCATTGTAATTTTAAGAGTGACAACGCATTTGTATTTTAATACCTAATCGAGAATCGATATAGGTGTTCATGGGCCACAGGATCCACTTTCCATCAGGTGGAAACTGTGGCCTGGTGGTTCCTTAATATGCGACTAACGGGTTCGTCAAAATGTTTCGAAGACTTGTGAAGTCCGCCAACACGCATCGGGGCAGCGCGGCGAACACTTCCTTGCCCTAAAACCCTCTCAGAAATGAGAGGAGGCCTGTGCCCAGCAGTGGGACGTATATAGGCTGTAACTTTAACTTAACTTTCGTCACTATTACGTCGAGTAGTTTATAACACACAAAATCAATTATATGTACGAAAAGTTATGACGACATGCTGCTGACTCTATTCTATTCTATCCTAACTTAAATATGATTTACAGTTATTTATTGTTTGCGAGGACAATGAAAATTGTTAGTTGTAATATCAACTCTAAAGTCAAAGCGGTAGAGGTGTTGTTGACCGAGTGCACACAGCACAAAGGTGAAAAAAACCCCGAGTCATCATTATCAGCTGATTAGACAACGGGTTTCCCAGACTGTTGCGAGGTAACTACTGCGGAGTATTGGGGCTTTTGTGTTTAAGAGAAAGGTCTGACCTAGAATATGCAGTAGTATTTTGTTTTTTTTTTTTTATTGTTACCTAATACGATATTAGATAGAAACGTGGTCGCCGAGCGTTCACTTAAAATTTTACAGTACACGAGCGAACCGATTTAGATCCTTAACGGCACTAATGTATAATATATTATATTCACATAATATATATAATTGCACAACATATTGTAAATTATTGTTTAAAATAAATAGGTCCGCTGGGTGTCTTGCTGGTTCTTAGCAGTACCGAGATTTTTCTCGAACCAGACTTACAACAAGTACTATTGTAATTTATATTATATTGAATAAAAATGTTAATTGCAAACTCTACCACGAATTATAAACGTCTAAGAAATTAAAAAAAAAACGAACACATGGCAAGTCCGCCAATACGAATATGGGCAGCAATGTGTAATCTTCCATGCTCTTAAGTAGGATATTCAAATCCATTATTCATAATCGACTGTTGTTACTTATTTACAGTATAGGTTTAGATTTATTCTCTATCGCGTATTTTTTATATTTAATATTTATAATTTTTTTTAATTAAAGATACCACCATAATATAGCTGCAGCATGGCACTACCACGTGTAAAAACACTAGGGATGTTTGATGATCATCGATGTTAAAAATTAAAACATTGATGTTGACACATCGAAACATCTATGTCAATGAACCCATAATCGTTTATTGGGAACTTGCGAACAATGCGAACCCGCGAAATCTATTAGCGACATCTATTGGACTAAGAAGAAATTGAGCAATATTAATTATTAATGTTTTACACACTTCACTCTCAATATCTTACATTTGCACTGTTGCCGGCCCTTTTATCGTATAGGAGTATTAATAGCTCTCTTTTCTACAGTATATTTACATCGGAAACACACACACACACGTACATAAACATATTTATTAAACACCAAGTGTAAATACATATTTCATTGCACGGTTCACTGTACTTAAGAGGCGTCTTACGTGACCTGCGGCACGGGTACCACGGAAGCCCCATATAAGGTGGAGACAGTAACGACTTACGATTCACGGAAAAGGTAATTAATATAATGTCAAGTTTCCGCCGTATTGTACTGTAAGCGACTTTTACTTCGGTAATTCTTCGATAATTAAAATTTCCTTTTAAAAAAAACTATACATGTGGTATTTTCCTGATTTTTAAGCAGTCTGCGAAATATTTTAACAACTCACCCCAGCATTTAGATCTGCACCGTAGTAGGCGAGGGTCTGCACACTCTCAATCTGGCCCGCGGCCGCCGCCAGGTGTACACACATTTGACCTGCAACCAAGATAAACAGATCGTAAGAAACGTGCAAACACCATCCGCCTCACAATATTCTCAATATAGCCCCTTTATTGAGTGGTCGTTGGCCTAGTGGTGGTAAGGCGGTTGCTGATCACGAGGTCCCGGGTTCGAATCCCAGATCGGGCCAAAATCAGTTATTAGGTTTTTCTGTCCAGAAATTCTCAAAAGTAGCCCGAAGTCGGCGGGGTCACCCCCGTGCCTAGGAAAGCACGTAAAGCCGTGGGTCCTGCGCCTGATCTCTCTCCGGTCGTGTCGGATTACCGTATCGTCGGATTATGAGAGTGAGGGAATAGAAGGCACCTGTGCTTGCGCATACACATGAACAATAACCCTGTCCCGCGCAGATGGTTAGTCTCCGTTGAGAGTGGCCGCCGTGACCGAAATTTGATCTGGAGCACATTAATATTAGTAGTCCTCTTTGAACAAAGTAGAGTCCAATGAAGCTGTGAAAGCAGATTGGTTAAGAGTGCTTATAAAATGTTAGTGCTGTGTGGTGGCGGTGGGAGTGAGTCATGGTGTCGTAAGCGCGGACTATGGGAAATGCCAAAGGATCGGATATCTTGAGTTGTCATCAGGAAGATTTTGCTGTTCATCTCCTGTTCAAGTCTCCCTCTGTCGCCTCTTACGACACCCACGGGATGATATGGGATAGTGGATTTTCTTACGCCGCCCCTACTTAAAATAACAGCTTTTTATTAGTAAATTTAGATGCATATGAAAGTATGTATACGGTACTAATAACAAAAGCACAACTTTTATCATTTTGGTCTGTCTTATTCTCTGTCTTTTTGTTCCGGCTAATCTTCGAAACGGCTGGACCGACTTTGACGGGACTTTCACTGACAGATAGATGTTATAAGGAGTAACTTGGGATACTTTTATTTTAGAAAAATAATCAAGGTTCCGCGCAAAAAAATTAAAACCCTTGAAATCGTAGTAAACTCCACGCGGGCGAAGTCTCGAGGGACAGCTAGCTATTTACATAAATAGCGTTAAATCATAAGTCCAACGACTCATTTATCTGTTTGCAAACTTTTTAAAACATATGAATCCATTATTATGCGAGCAAATGCCAAAACTACTGAGTCAAACGTTAAAATGAAACATTTTAAAATAAAAAAGGTCAGCTAAAATTGTTCAGCGTTGCTCCGTAAATACAAGATACAAGCGCTGTGATGAGAATCAGCGGCTATATAAACTATAAACAGAAACTAAAACGTTATGTGTATGTGTCTAAATTAGCATGCGAGCTTGCGACAGTACACAAATATGGCGTAGGGTTACCATGATAATAAAAAATAAATATATAATATAACTTTTTTACCTGGTGACCGTGTGTCTAAATGATCAGAGTACCTACCTAACTAAAGAGTCATGTAAAAATTTGAATTTGAATACGAATTATCAAAGAGAACAACAATGGAGAAAAACGAAATTGGAGCTGACATCAAGTACCTCTGTTTAAAAAAATGTCTACCAAAGACATTCACAGCGACTTGGTGGAAACATTGGGGGACTCTGCTCGTCCATATTTCACAGTTGCACGCTTGGCCAAGTAGTTTAAGCTGGGCAGAACATCCACGCAAGATGAACATCGAGAAGGACACCCATCCACATCCCCCACTGAAGATAACGTGAAAAAAGTTGAAGATGTCGTATTGGCAGATCGAAGAGTGATCATCAGGCTGATAGGCATATAGCTGAGGTTACAGGGATCTCATATGGCAGTGTTCAAATTACTTGCGAATAAATTGCATATGAAAAAGGTCTCTGCACGTTGGGTGCCGAGAATGTTAACCGACGAGCGACGAGCGACGAGGTAAGAAAAAACGAGTCGACATTTCGAGGGTGAATCTGGAAAGGTTCCAAGCAGATCAGGATTTTTTGTAACGTTTCGTGACCATGGACGAGACCTGGATCCACCTTTTTTATCCTGAAACGAAATTACAATTAGTTGTTTGGAAACAAGCCTCTTCACCGACGCCGAAGAAATTCAAAGTGTCAAGTTCGGCGGGAAAGGTTATAGCGTCCGTTCTTTTGGACCCTCAAGGAATAATTATGGTGGAATATTTGGAAAAGGGAGCCACTATTTCGGGCTCTTACTACGCAGGTCATATAAGAAGATTGCAGGAGGCTATTAAGGAAAAATGAAGCGGCAAACTGCGTTTTGGAGTGCTGTTTCACCAAGACAACGCTCCGATTGTCAAAGCCGCAGTTGCGATGGTTACCATTCGAAAAACGGGACTTGAACTGCTCAATCAGTTATTCGCCACATCTAGCTCCCAGTGACTTTCATCTATTTCCTCGGCTCAAGGAACACCTTCGAGGCAGACAATAGCGATGTGATGCACGCTGTTGAGGCTTTATTGAAGAGTCAAGATAATTTTTTTTAAGGGAATTCTGAGTTTAGAAAGACGATGGACTAAATGCATGACTTGTTAGGAGCCTATGTAGAAAAATATTTTTTTAACTATAATCACCGTGTTCAATATTCATTATCATTACTTATGTATCACCCCTCGTACACTTCTATAATAAAACTATTTTTACGGATTTTATCGCGTTTAATTTTCTTATTTTTTAATTCGCGACGTTTCGGGTGCTTTACAGCGGTCACGGGGGTGACTGCGATGTTTGACGTCTTAGCCCGGCTACCTTTAGTCCGATCTACGCAGAACGATCTTACAGTATCTTCAGGTCTTGCAGTTGTATGCTTGGGTTTGGACTTAATTTTGTTAATTATAGGATCCTAAGCATGTCATATGCTTGGGGTCCTATAATTAACATAATTAAATCCACCCCATCCATCTTCTCTATTGGAATTAGGAGTTTTTTTAATTTCAATAGCCTCGCATATATCATTCTTGGTGGGAATCGGTATTCGTTTGCGAGTATTTGTGGTCTAACAAATCTGATGTAATGGCGGCGATGGTTTTGAACAGTTGACAGATTGTAGACTTCCATTCCTTCCTTGATGGTAAGTGGATGTTGTGGCCTACAAACACTAACACCTATCCTGAATTGAGAGTCTGTATGCACTTGTGATGTCACAAGTGAGAACTAAGATGGAATAAACTAAAAGGATCGCCGGTTTCTGTCACTAAACTTACAAAACACAGCAAGCATTAGGTTGTTATTTGACGCTGATATTCCGTGCCAGTGTGGTTCTTCTAGGGTCGGGCAGATCCATTCGCTCCGCAGCCATAATGCTTTGCAGCGTGACTCTGTCATGTAAATATAAATACTATATTTGTTTTAAAATTCAAATTGTTTGCCAGTGGTCGCCTACAATCTCACTTGAGTAAGTGGTGATGAAGCCCCCAAATGGAAATGTCTCAGTGTAATATGTAATAATATTATTGTAAATTATCTCTCTTTCTATTTGCTCTCGTTCTTTCGAATTCACAAGATAAAACTATTATAATAATCACTAGCGAGAAAGCGTGTCGCAATGCGCCTACAGAAGTTATCAGTTTAAAAATTCCACCAAGCGCTAGACTTAAAATAACTTTAAAACAGATTAGCCTCTTGACATTCAGATAACAGAAAACGTCTGGAGCTACTGCTTATCGCACGACTTTGTTTTAAATTTAAAATCAACAAACGTTGAATGAAAAAGTTGGTAGCCCTGACAGCTTGAATTGTAAATTGCGTCTTAATTTTTTTTTTATAGACAGATGGCGTACACAATGCGAATGAAAACGATTAGATGATGTAACATTAATTAGGGAATCGGTGGAATATAATGTTAATGAACTATTAATAAGCTTGAAAAATAATTAATCATTTAGAAAAAGAACAAGATAACAGCAGCAGCCAAAAAGCTTTATAATGAGAAAAAAAAAAACAAATTATTTAAAGAAGAAAAAAACAGTATAGATTAACTAATTACTATTACTAAATTAAACCCGGTGACGGCCTTTACTATAAATAAAATAAAATAATCTGACACTTAAAATAGGAACCACTAAAACACAGAATTTTTTGGGGAGACGTTTTAGATAGGACACGATGTACTCGATACAAACATCCTGATTAGGATTAATATTAGTAGGCCATACAAACACTTGTTCCGTGCCGAATCAAGTCCGCGCACAAGTAGCTAAACGCTTAGGCATTGCGCCGTTTACAATTAATACCGTTTACGCAAGTGGAACTGCTGATCTCTAGGTTCCGGTTTCGAAAACTAGGTCAGACTAGAATCAGTTATACTGTCAGCCAAAATCAGTTTCTTTTCTCATCAATTAATTAATTGATAAAAAAAATTGAAAAAATCCTGTCATGAAATTCAAAATGGCAGCCCGAAGTCAGAAAAATGGCAGTGGCTTCCTGGCTTATATATATCTTGTATTTACCATATGGGGGTGTATCATACCTCCGAAAGCATGATTTTGAAGTGCGGGGTGTCGTTATATCATAGATACGTCTTCACGTCCGGAGAGTTACAGTCCTTTTAACCGACTTCAAAACAAAAAGAGGATTACAATTCGACTGTAAACGTTACGGCGTAAGACGTACATTCCATTCATTAAACATGTTGTCCAACAAAAATGTTACTATGCTAAATCTAATCCAGGAATCATACTCAAATTATAAATGCGAAAGTACAAAAACACACTTCGATTTTGTTCTTCTTTCACGCAACATCGGGACAACGGATCGAAATAATTTTTTGCAGAGATAGTTTACGAGCTGGAGAGTGACCAGTGGCGGTAGCTTCTTACAAGCCAACAGCACAGCATGCTGGAGCGTAGGTATGTACATTTTCGGGCTCTATGTTTGCACTATCGCTTAAGTTGTATTATCAGTAACAAATAATCAAATGTCACAAGGGCAATGACGCACAAACGTATAACGATGAAAAGTTAAGTGGGCAATGCAAAACAATGGCGCCGCGTCGCTGGCAATAAATGTAAACTTTATAAATAATTGATATCTATTTTGATGGTTGAATTTAATTACAAAAGTGTAAT